GGCACGCAGGACTCCACCATGGTTGAGGATACCATGGAAAACGTGTTGAGGTCTTAGGAATAAAACGAGCTGCCACCTGGACAATACAGTCAGTTACTGCAAACACACAGTCGTCTATTGATGGCAGACAGACGAAGGCAGGATCAAGTTCAGAGAGAGAGGTGAAAGATGGCCAATTAGTCTGGTCCAGCTTCCACCGTGGCACTCGGGTCAGGTGGCATTGACCATGGCCAACATCCGTCATAATGATAGAAAAATTATCACAGCTCTGTGGGTCACAGTCGACCATCTAAGAAAAGCGAGTGAAAAGTGAAAGGGAGCAAAGCGAGAGATCAATGGCAGTAAAAGACTGACTAGGTTCATGAAAATAAGTATATGTATCAGTATTGAAGAGAGAAAGGTTGTGATCCGAGAGCATACGCTCAATGGAATGACCCCTCCCATCAATATCAGTGCCACCCCACAGGGGGTTGTGTCCATTAAAGTCTCCCAGAAGTAAAAAGGGAGATGGCAACTGGTCAACGAGAGCATCAAAGTATGATTGATCATAAGTCTCCCCAGGTAGAGAGAACAAACAGTAATGGTACAACCTAAGGAAACACGGGTGGCTATGGCCTCCAAGGGTGTATCAAGGGACACAGATAAGGAGGGCACATGCTGGTTAACCAGCAGTGCCACCCCTCCATGCCTGTGCTGTAAGGGCAGCAACTCGTGGTCCAGAAAGTCATGAGATTGTCTTGCTCTAGTTGTTCTATGTCATAGATAATGTCTATTGTTCTGATGAGGATATTGTAGCAACACATAGCATGTTGGTTGAAAGTATTATCACTGTAATATCCCTTACTGGCTGAGCTTCACATTATCTGAATGATATAACTGACCAATGTTATTCTACTTTATAAATGAAGTGATAAAAGTTGTCTCAGTAATTATAGGAAAAGGTTTTGAAAGGATGATGAAATATGATTTGCAAAATCATTAATAATGTTTAAAAATTCTCTTGGATGGTATGGTTTCACTATTATATAATTTTATATTCATCATTTAATATTAAACAATGTTTATATTATTATTATTTAGTTACATTATCTGTTTCATAATGTTAAACACAAAAAGGTTATCAAACATATAATGCTTCTATTTACCAGCAAAACATTTATGTTTATATAGTATAAATATTTGGAATTTACTATTTTGGTAGTTCCAATGCTATCTTTATAAATGTAATTTTTCTATGAGGTTTATATACTCAGTGGGGTAAATATCTACTCCCCAGTCATGTTTAAAATACATAACTTTTGATAAAATTTGTCATGATTTTTTACTAGACATTTAGTTTTAAAAACTGTTGATGTCAAACTAAAATGACGTAACTTTTAGTCTAAAGATGTGAAGAAGCTTATGAATTTACTTAAACATTATCAAGATAATTTTAAGGTTAGTATTTTATTAAAACTTTGTAATATTTTTTACAGGATACAAGTTCTAATTCTTAACCTGTTTCTCTCTAGTCTAACTGCAGGTTTTGGTAAAGATATAAAGGTGAAACTGGGATATAACCATGGATGTATCAAAGATGAAAGTTGAACCCTTTTCTGAAAATGAACAGGATGATTTGTTGGATATGAAAAATGAAGATGAAACTCCTACATTATCTAGTAGTAAGTATATATATATATTTAGAATTTAAATATTTTGTGTTATGTCCAACACAAGTAGTGTGAATGTTACCTGTGAAGCAGTGTACATGAATTTTCTGTCAGTGATTATTAGATATTTCTTATTGAGTTAATTTCCTCTGTCAGGTATGTACATCAGTAAAATTAGGTTATATTCTTCTGCTTATTTTGGTCTTTGATACAAGTGACACTGCTGTGATTATAATCTATACCATCACCTGTGGGTGAGGTTATTTAAAATGTCAAGCTTGTACTCTACTAACTAAACTAATTTTTAACCTATTGTCTACTGTTAGTAAAGAACTTTATATCAATACACAGTACACTTATTTCATCTATAATGTTTTTGTACAATTATCTTACTGATAAGAAATTAATATTATTGTCATTAAAACTAATAATTAACAACACATACATATATAAAGTTATTTTAATATAAAGTATGAGTTTTATGTAATTGAACATGGAGAACTTTCGTTTTTGTGCAAGTAAAAACAAATATTTTTGAAAAGTGCACTCCTTGAAATATTTGATAACTAAAAACATTTAGTTCAACCTTAATCATAGTAGAATTTTAAACTAAGTACTGAAAACTTTGATGTGAAATGTTAATTTCAAATCTTAGCATGATATTAACTCTTTGCATATGGGCTTGTTATATGTGATGATGACTAGAGATAAGGATACTTTATAAATATGAGTTGAGTTAGTGAAGTTAATGATTATACTTTGAGTTTATGAATTCAGTGTCAGAAAATTGTTTAGCATTGGAAGTGAGAGTTACTGTGTGTATTAAGTTATAATTAGCAAGGAAATTTTATAAGAAAGTTTATTTGTGAGTTAGGTAACTTACCTTTTAGTGTTGGATTTTATGTTCAAATATTATTGTACACATAGGCCTACAACTACAAGTGAATGTAACCTGAAGAAGATGTTAAGGAAGGAATGAATAGTTTATTATTTTTACCAAAAATCTAAAAGAATCTGTCCAGTGCCTTAACAAAATATGCCAAGATTTTAGTAAACATTACTGAAAAAAATCAAACTTTTTAAACCCCCATAGATTATTTTTATTAAAGGTTTGTCTGAATTTAAGAAGTCTTTATTGTGTCTGTCAGTTTGGAAGGTTATTTTCCTCCTAAGAATAAAAACTTACTTTTATCTTGCAGTTTTCATTTGTACACTGCGAATGTTGTCATAATTTCAGAAATCTCAGGATTTAATTATGACATTTGACTGTGCCATTGGCGATGGTGACACTGTCAGGATTGATTGTGTTTTTATAGGCTATTGTTCTGTTTAATGTTACAACTATTTGGTTTTTATGGTATAGTGGTTTACTCTTTTCTTTTTACCAGTTATTTGGTATAGACAGCCTAGTTACTTTGTGTCATTAAACCCAAACAACTATTAAAAAGCAAACTTATTGCTATTGAATCCTCTCGACATGGATTCCTGTACAGGGAAGGTTCTGTATTTTCAGTTACTTCCTCTGGTATCTAAACATCCACCCACGTGTTTGCCATGCATGGCGACCCTTGAAGGGGAGGAGAGGATCCTGGTGGTTGAGTGGTGTCTGGGGCACTGCAACACACCACTTTGGCCTTGAATTCTTGTAGACAGGTAGCCTTGGGGTGCCCCCCCCGGGTCAATCGGCTGGTCCACTTGGGCTAGGGTCAACTGAGTACCAGTGTTGGGCGTGTCTGATGCTGGTGTTTGGGTATAGTGCTCATGAAAGCCTGGTGTTCCTGCAGTGTCCTTCTATGACATTGTAGTGCGTCCCCTTGTAGGACTCCATGGCGGTTGGGGTCAGTGGACACTGAAATTTGTTTCTTAATTATGGATCCCCCCAATCCAAATGAAAAAATAGTAAAAACTCCGCTTATTGGTAAACGACCATGCCCAGAAGACTCTGCACAGCCATCTCCACCACAAGGTGGCTCTGTACCTTGCTTTCTGATCTTACATTCACTATCTGATAAATCTGTCGGGCAAATGTCCCCCTTTTTTAGTCAGAAGGGCTTAGAGGGGCTCTCCAAAGTCAGTTAAGAAACTCCGTTCTGGAGACATCTTGGTCGAAACATCCACAGCTAAGCCCTCCATGGTTAATAGAGTTGATAGATCTATGTCGACTCCAATCTCTGTCCCCACTATTCCTTCCAGTGACTACCTGGGACAACCTCCTCGGGCACCAGCCTCTGGTGTCCGTGCGAGTCCTTCTTTGGTCCCTAAAAGCAGGACAATCAATCGATCACGTCCTCAGTTATTGGATTCTCACACTGATGACAGAGAATTGCCCACTCGATCAAGGGCAGGATCCATGGAGGTCGATCGACCTCCCTCTAGTAAAGAAAAATGGCGTGGTCGTAAACCGAAGGGTTCCCCGCCCTGTTCTCCTAAACATACATAACAATGGCCACTTTGATACAGTGGAACTGTCAAGGTTTTCATTCTAATCTCGATGACATTAAAGCCTTGATTGACTCTTATCATCCCATGTGTCTATCCTTGCAGGAAACATTCCTGAAACCTGCCTATACAGTCACCTTTTGGCAGTTTTCTCTGTACCGGAATGACAGGTTGTGTGATGGGCGGGTAAACTAAATAATAAAGATATTTTATAGATCTCTATATCACTAAAGCAGGTATATAGCACATGATATGTCTGCATATCACAATACATTTAAATAGATGGGAACCTACTATATCTACAGTTATTGATCTTGACATATTACAGAATAAGTTAATCAAGCCATTACTAGTTACATCTCACCTGGAATACAGTGTCACATTTTTGTCTCTTTATCTATAAAATCGGTCTATTCAACAAGATAATATACAGTTGATTGTTGTGATACTATACCATCATATTTCAACAGTTGAATTTGTCTACTGTAAACCTTTCTATTTAACAAGATAAGATAAAGTTGATTGTTGTGATACTGTACCATCATATTTCAACAGTTGAATTTGTCTACTGTAAACCTTTCTATTGAACACAATCTTATATTTCCATTTAATATTTTCAATACTATTTCAGTCCAGGGAGAAAAGTTTTATAAAGTGTGAATCTTTGAGAACTGTCATAATTATTTTCACCTTTAACATTTTGGTATTTGTTGTGATTGTATTAGAACATTAAACTGAACTTAAAAGTTCAACAAATAATATGTGATACATTTGACTATTTAACAAAAATATCACAAGCACATGCTGTTTCTAACAAGGAAGCAGAAACTCTAACAAGGAAACTTAATGAATTTGTTTCAAGACTTGGTTTGTCTATGGAACTTTACTCAGATCAGGATCAGAGCTTTGAACCAACCTTGTTTGTGGAAATGTGTCAGATGATTGTAATGAATAAAAAAAACAGGACAACAGCCTTTCATCAATCTTCTGATGAGATAGTTGAGGGTTACAAGCATACAGTTAGATCATGGACATAAAATGTAGATGTTCCACTGTTAGTAATAATTTATCATTCAGCAGTATATGAAGCTACACCATGTTTTGAATTTTCAATGAACCTTCTGTATTCTCATCCAGAGACTAGTCACTGAACAGAGTTTTACAGAATATGTAGAGGGAATAAGGATCACCATAAACATCATACTTGACTTTAACTAGAAACACTTGAATCAAGTTGTGATAAAATGATAATATTCTGTGATATTAAAACTGGTAAGGATGTACAAGAAAGGAGGAAGTGAAAAATTAATCAGGTGTTGCTGAATGGCTGTAAATTCTACTGAAAATAAACTGATATAGTTTACAGGATCTAGGGGAACAGACAGTCCAAGTCAAAGTTATCATCTCCGAAAGTAAAATGGGGTAAAATGTCTTCTTATTCGTTTCTTATCATTTGACTTACCTCAAGAGATCCGCTCCTATAGTGAGAATGTTTTAATGGTTGTCATTTCTGTAAGATGTGTCAAAGGGGAGATATTCAATTTATTTGGTATGGTGCAATAATATGCACATATATAATACCAACATAAAAAATACACATATATAAACCAAACAACAAAAAACTATATTCTCAAACATCTGTTGTTTTATCTGCTCCTATCTTCATAATATTTAAACAGTCACCCGAAGAAGTCGATTGTTTTCTTGAAATTCATTCACATATCAAGATTTATGGATCAATCTCAATGCTAATATAAAATTTTAGAAGTTGTAAAAATATAATATTTTTCCTCTAATGAACTCTGCAATATAGACATTTTAAGGTATGTATTTCTTTCTACAATTAATCATTCAGGAGGTGAAGAGGGGATGACAGACATTTGACTATTATATGTATAAGAAGATAGATGTTCACTCCTCCCTGAATGTGGTCGAGGATTTGATCTACTATCAATAGCTCTGCCAGTCAAACCTCTAGCATTACTGTTATCTTTAGATGTACTTGGTTTCAGATACCCTGCCCTACAGGTGCCAAATCTCTTAACATTACTATGTAGAAATGCCCCTTTGTCTTAGCTAATATTTCTCACAGTTTTAGAGAGTCGAGACCTCAGCTTCCATCTATTGGTAGTGTCACTTCTACTCTAATGTTAATCAGTTTGTGATCACTTCTCCACTAAAGATGGGGATGTCCCATGGTCTTTGCCAGTGTCACCACGGTGAGAACAACAGCTTAGGATATTCTACTCCTATTACTGGTTACAGACTACTAAGATGAAGCTCGCATGTGTCATTATCTTCTTCAGTGTGTTGTACACCTTGCTCGAATTTACTCTGCCTTTGTCTTCTCAATGCATAGGTGCCTCTCAAAATTCACTGAGCACCAAGAAGCACTTCTTTGACTCAGGGATGTAATCATCTCATCAGATATGCAAAGACATTTAAAGTATCATCACAATTGTGTTACATCTCTCCTAAAGTCATATGGAACCACAACTTTCTTGATGGTGTCTCCACAGTCGTCACTTGATGCCTGGAATTGTTGAAGCCATATGTACTTATCCCTTATAATT